TTAAAACATTATCCACGTGCCGATGCGCTCGGAAAATCAGACGCGACTATCCAGCTTCCGCGGCGTATTGATATTACATCCCACGATGGGCGTCCTCTCGTGCAGTTATATACATATGTATATACATATATATACATATACATGTATATATACACACATACATACACGTACAAACTCTCGAATCTCCATTCCGTGGCCGAGCGCACTCGGGATCGACCGGGCCGTCAGGCTTTCGAGTTTTCGAAAAGGGTCGAAAGCCGCCCCCGCAAACACCGCGGGATGTACATTCGTTAAAAAAAAAAAACGAAAACAAAAAACTGTCGATAGACTTGCGGCAATGTGGGCTTTCCGCTCGCGAAAATGTCGAAGGGTATCTGCCGGGAGCATCGAGTAGCCAGCGAAAATACCGCAGGCATTCATATCGACGGTGTAATCGTGTTTGTCTGAGAAGAGATTTTACTCAAGAGCGAGCGTATCTCAACGATCACGATATTGGTATCCATCGCGCGGAAAGAACAATTCTGTCGTTAAGCGTAATTGATTTGATTGCGTTATTCGTCTTCTTAATCGAACTAGTGTCTGATAAATTGTTACAATCGATAATGTTTGAAATTTTCTGAGAATGCCACGAAAAAATGAAAGTATAACGCACGGAAAAAAGAGACGGAAAACGTAAATAACGACGGATAATTCCTCGACTTTGCACCGCTTCCGGAGATAGGATTAAAGCACCCTGCGTGAGCCATTTTTCTTGATTCGCACACTTTTTTCCGCTCTATTATTTGAATCAGAATCGAAAGGACGCATTCTCATTCGAGTCACACAGGAATTTATAGAAAATACACACAATCTCTTTCTCATTTCGAAACACATTAATGAAACCAGAAAAAAATTGAAAAATTAATAGTTTTCTAATTATATATAATATATGTATATTATAGCAACATGTGTTATATACCATATATAATTATAATATATATAACAATATAATTAATTTTAATATATATAATAATTAAATACATTAATTATAAAATTACATAATATATTATATATATATAATTAAAATATCTATTGTACAATATATTATTGTAACAATATCTGTTATATACAATACATAACTTCTTTTTAATCATTTGAGTTTTTTAAAGAAAAAAATCGCTTTCAAAAAAAAATTTGTTTCATATCATTAACGAAATAAAACGCGGGTCGACATGATATACGATGATCGTGAAGATGCAAATATTTCGGGCTCGTTAATTTAAGCGCGAACAAAAGCGAACGCGGAGCGATTCGTTTAATTTTCATTTATATCGCGCAAATCAAGCGCACGCGGGGATGTCGTTTGGGATATCGGATTACCGTCCCCTCGATATGTGGACATGCTCGCGGAAAAATTCGTTGACACACCCGCGCATCCACATAAACACGCAGACACACATGCACCCGTTGATTTTCTCTGGCTTCGACCGCGTGCGCGGGGTATTACGCAAAAAAACAACGCGCGCCTGTCAGGGGAAATAAAACAAGGATCGGGTAAATAGCGACGGTCCGTAGATAATTCTATTTTGTTTATCACTGCCGCGGGAAATGCGATTTCGTACGCCACCGACTGACGCGATTTGTTTTTATATTCAACATTCTCGGCCGCGTATTTTCTCCGCGCGGTTATGTATGTTTATAATCAGCAGCGGTGTGTTCCTGCGGTATCTTGTGCGCGCAAAATAGGGATTATCGATTATACCGCGGATCTGTTTTTAATTAATGATTTTATTTAAAGCGGAACGTGAGCGATTTTCAATGTATATTTGGAGCGGTGAGAAGATTGTTTGTGCAGTCTTTTTATCGTTATGTAATGTCACAATTTTTAATTCAAAATGTGTCGTGGCGTGCCTGAATCGCGAGACGGGGTCGACATTTAGATGGCAAGATCGTCATTGCCATTTAATTAAATCGAAAAATCGGATAGTCATTAATGACAAGTGGCGCCCAATCGCGATGACTCCGTGATTTTTATTGATCCCACGCTGAGTCCTGCCGCGAGGGCTGAAACCGCTCGCGAGGACGGTCGGGAGTCTCCCCTCGATATGGCATCTATAACGACATTCACGAGTAAAGATCGACGCTCCCTTAATCTTATCGGTTGCACAAAAAGCAATGACGTAATGGATCCGGCCGATTTTCCAATTAACACGACAATGCGAAATTATATATAATATCTTAGTTGTCTCTTTCAAATTCCTCTTCGAATATTTCCGAATCATAAAACTTGTAATAAGACAAATTAATATAGTATATATAGCTTCTATTTATTTTAAGACAATCTTTTTATTTCTAGAATTTGAATTTAGAGTTATTATTAGCGTAAGGTTGAAAATTAATAAGTCGTGAAAATAGTTGATTATTAAATTTTCATAACGAAAAGATTGATTTTTTAATCGATCAAATTAAATCACAAACCTAAAAATAAGTAGATTTTATTACATTAATACAACCTGTTAACATTACGATTCCGACTTGAGAGAGAACAAACAATCGCAATATCCTCTTTGAAAAAAATAATTGCGTCACTTCATCTCCGATCGTTCGTTTATTTCGCGACGAGTTCCTTGACCGTCACTTTCGATTGGCAAGTGCCGGACTCAGGTCGACGGAGGGAGATAGATAAGAAAGGTGTATTAACACACGATTAACATTTTCGTCGTGTGCGAAACACCGCGTTGTACGCGATTCGCGATACGATCTGCGCTAAGTCCGCGGGACTGTAAGGAGGTCCATAAACTTTCGTGTCCCGAGATAGTAATCGTCAGGTGCGAAAAGCGTGACGTGGTCTAGAGGGAAAGCGTCCGCGCGGTCTCCGTGGATGGGTGTTTCCATCCACACAACGGAGCGTGCGATGCGCACACAACTTCGTCGACGTCCAAGAAAGCGTCGATGATTTTCTTTTTTTTTTTTTTTCTTTAAACGCGATTCCCGACCGTGATTATTATAATAACGCGCGATATCGGGGCACGCGGAGGCGATGATCCGCTTTTGCTTCATTAGGGAACGCTGCGCACTCAAGGTAACAATAAATCTCCGACCTTATCGATTTCCTGACGATACGATACGACGTCGATTTGTCATACGTTTATCCGAGACTTATTATACGCGATTTATCGCACGCCCGATCTCGCGCCACGTTCGTAACGTGGCCTACGATTATTAATTTAAAGGCAAGAGGGTGGGGGTGAAAGGGGATAGAAAGAGTTAATATAAAATGCATCCTATATACATCACGATTGCTCTCACGCGCGCGTTCTTTCGATAATGATACCGCAGCAAGGAATCGTGATCCAATAGAATCGGATCACCGATAAATAATCGCGTTATAATGATTTTGTTGAAATCGATGGAATTGATAATATATTCTATTGTTTTGAAAAAATCGAACCCCCGAATTGCATTTAATATATGCATATTCTTTTATTTGTGCATTTAATACGCGTATTCTGTGTTATTCGATATAAGTAATAATAAGATAAAATTGTGTTACATAACATTAGTTTATAAGTCGAGTTAAATTTATTCGAGATTAAGATCATTTATGACTGTCTAATTCCTTCATAATATTAATTTTTTTTCTCAAAAGTCCAATTCGAATCGAATGATTTGAACATTGCACAAAGTAATCTATATTACATTTTGAACAGGTAGTATTATATTACATATACATTTGTATATATACTATAATATTCAGAAGTGTGTTGTGCCTTGCTTTGATCTCACTGTCATACAAGTCAAACATTGAATCAAAATTGAAATCTGTACAAAGACATACACTGTAAACATTATATGACGAAATCCTATTATCTCGTCTATATAAATCGTATTACTTTCAATGATATTCGTATCAGAAACTAAATTTCACTAAATAATTTGCGAAAAAATTCAAGCTTCCATTTAATATGTTTCACATGTAATTAGATATTTTTCGTATATATCCTAAGACATGGAATTCTGTCGCGAAATACAAATCATCTAAATGGATTTAAAACTGCAAAAATTCTTTCCTCTGTCTTCATTATTTTGCTAATGACAAGAAAAAAGTATCAGCCGATGTAACCGATACAGCTCTTCGCCTTTTTATGAAATTCGGGGGAAAACTACCTTATATACATCCTGAAGCGCACTAGGATCGCAGCGGAATTAAGCGATTGAAATTGCGCGGTGCGAGAGGAGGGTACCTTCGAATAATATTGTTCTCTCCTTGCCGTTCTGCGACGGTAGCGTGCGGATGGTCCTCGTACGAGTCGAGACGTTACGACGGCGGCGGCAGCAGCAGGTTGATGGATGCCGGAGTCTCATGAGAAAATCCGGATGGAGGGGATAAGCCGCGCGACTCTCGTCGTAGTCGTCCTCACATACTCGGCATACATAGTAGTGGCACGGCTCTAGTGGTGGTATCGGACTGACGGCGACGGCGCCGGCAATGGTAGTAGTATTACGATGATAGTGGTAGTAGTAGGAATGACGCCGGCAGAGTGCTAGTAGTAGGGTCGATCGAGAGTGGGGACGATAGGTCCGGTCGCGAGGACGGGTAGGGGTAAGTAAGTACCTTCGGTGCCACGGCGACCCTAGGTTGCCTCGACGATGCCGGAGACAGAATCGGAGAGAGAGAAAGAGAGAGAAGGACAGAGTAACGGGGGAAGAGGGACATGCGAGTCCGCTCGAGGGGACGACCGGGCGACAGAGAAAGAGAGAAATCGAACGATATAGTCGACCGGAAAGGGAGAGACGCGACGGAGAAAGATGTGTTTGCGTGTACGTGTGTTTGTGCGTGTGCGGGGGTGGGAGTACCCGGAGCTTAGGAGCCTGGTGGGGCGCGCGAGGGGGAACAAGGTAGAGTGGGGACAGAGGACGTTTGTCCACGTTCACCACCGACACACGCGCTCGCACGCGCGTGTGCACGCTATCAGAGAATCCTTTCTGACCTCTCTCTTTTCCACTTACCTGTATTTCAGCGCTGGCGCGACTGTCAAGCATTCACCACCAACAGCAGCAGCAGCAGCAGGCTCAACAGCAACAACAGCGGCTCGGTGGCGGTGCTGGTGGTGGGGATGTCGTCTCCGGCCCTCGATCCGCTGGTAGGGAGGATAAAAGCGTCGTAGGGAGGGTAAAGCACCCGGCATCATCGACGACGACGACGACGACGACGACGACGACGACGACAACGACGACGACGGAGACGACGGCGACGCCGCCGCCGACGACGACGACGACGACGATACTCGCGGATGGTAGCACAGGAGGAGGGATAGGCAGTGACAGTGGTAGTGGTGGCAGCGGTGCTCCTGGTGGGGACCGTAACGGCGGCGGTGCTAGTGGAGGTGGTTGTGCCGGTGGTGGTGGCGAAGTCGCGGAGAAGGAGGAGAGGCCACCGGCTTCAGAGACTGTCGAGCCGACGGCCGCGTTTGACGTCGCATCCCTCGTACTCTACGGCTCGCGCGCACTGCCGATACGCCTTAAGATCTTGCTCGATCAGTTGTTCAACCAGTTGCCCCCCGCGCAAGTGACACGTATCCTAGCTGCCTTCGGTTGGACCCACGAGGATTATACGCGAGGATACATACTGCAGGTGAGTTGACAGTCGAATTTATTCGACGTAGACACAGACACACGCATGTACACACTCGACGTACGTTTGTGCGTGCGCGAGCCGCGTGAAACAGCCCTACGTCGAGGGGAGACGTCGGATCGGACGCGAATCTACGATACGTCGCGATCGCGCACCACGTGACGACGATACTGGGACTTGACGTATCGTACTTTGGACGCTTACCTGAGAGACACGCGGTTGACGTTACGCGCGCGACGATCAGCTGCGTTCCGTAACGAGACGAACGGCCGTGACGAAAGCGCGATTTTGACACTTGGATTACCTCCAGATGTGACAGCGACCGTTAGAGACGATCATTATTTTCATGACATCTTCTGTGAATAGATGCTCCGAATGCTTTGGCATCCGACAGTTCGCGGCAATCTGACCAAGTCCGTATCGAAAAATATCTTCTCAAAAGCTAACGCGAGTATGGATCTTTTAAATTGTCGCTGCTATAAATATATTATATAATGATTATATTTTCAATTATATCTAAAGATGAAAAATTCTCTATACATGCGAACGCGGTGATAAACCTTGATAAAATAAAATACGAGTGTCAATTGGATATTAATCTCAATTTAATCAAATAAAAGGCTTCTGTCTAAAATGCTTTAAAATAATCTTACGGTTATAAAATATACAATTGCGTGTTATATTGTGACATCAAAAAACCGTCAAGGACGAAAACATGAGAGCAGAAACGGCGAACAGTGCATCGAAAGTGTATCGTACGATAGTGCAAGTGGTGCAAACGACGTCAAAGGTCGGAAGATCGAGATATCGGCGTCAAGTGAGGTACCTGCGTAGTAACATGTAAATCTCAATGATAATCCTCCGTCGGACACATTCGCTACATCGAAAAGGACGGAAGGCATGAAGGAGGTCGTCGAGAAGAAAGAAAAGACCTGCTCTCGCGAGGAGGATCAAAGAAATGATTCAGATTTGGAGCCCGTCACTTCGTCAACAAAGCGGTAGTTTTTCAATATCGAGGACTTTATCGAAAAAAGAAATCGAATACAATCGAACATATCAAAGTGTCTCGAAAGTGATGCTCTGGGATGGAAAAATATTATTATGATTTGAAGGCAACACATATTTTAATATGACATTCTTATAAACGTTAAAAAATTGTGTTAATTATGTGTGTTGAGACTAGTAGCGCATCTTCGCAAATGTCACATCCGAGATTTGGACTTTTTGACAGATCGAGTGACAATTTCTTAATCGACAATTTTTTTCATCGATAACGTGTCTTGATCGCAATCAAATATACGATCTACTTTTGCTGCCGATTTCACCATGGATCATCGTGCTTCCTTGGATCAACCGGTGGTGAACCAGAATATATCGATGGACTGTTCTTCTTTAATAGTGTGTCGATGAGTGAAAAAAGTAGTGAAATTATAACGTCATTAATCGATCGAGATGAGGCTTATCATTATTAAAAATCCTATCGTTTAAATAATTCGAGCACTTGATTTCGAGTCACTGTGAGCGAAAATTAATAAAAAATTTCGTAGAATCGAAAAAATCGATTGTTTAAAAATATTCTTAAGCAAATTGACAAATCACGCTAAATAATTATTCTTAACAATTATTGTGACGTTAATGATAACGCGCGTGCAATTGTAATTATAAAAACGTTTAAAATGCAATTTGTGGAAATGGATAGAAAAACGAACAGTTTGAATAAAATTATCAATGGAAACATGATGTATCGCGATAATGACCGATCACTGATGAGACGTACATGAAAATATATAATTATCAACCATTTTCATACCATAAAAAGCTTATTTTTCTCGTATATCACGACATGTAACTCCGAACGCGCAATCTGTGAGTGATTAAAATAGAAATGACATTCTTGGACAAAGTCAATAGTTTCTCGTATCATACTCTGTCACGATCATTACCGCGTCTGATCTGACGGACAATTGCCGGTATTTTAATTGTTTATAAAATAAACGATTTCGCGCAACGCAATCTATGAATGAACATAGAGACAGGAATAACACTTCGAATAACGAAGCCATAATTCCTCGTATATATCTCTATCGAGATAGTAAACGACCGACCTTGACATTCTATCAAAATAAATAATCCTCATGTATATGTCGCAGAGGTTCATTATAAAATCAGCTTTTTTATAAAAAGTCAATTCACACGCGAAGCATTGAATCTGGCCGGATTTTTATAAAAAGCTTAATCTCTTTGGAAAAAGACTAAATTTACAAAAGATCTACAATATTATACACGTATATATTTATATACGTATAGACTCCTTACATGCGCGACCGAAGTAAAGGCAAAATACTTTAAAATAAATAACTTGTTGCACTTGGTTTTTTCGCGATTATTACCTAATCTCGATAAGTGGAAACAATATATAAAATATATTAATAAAATATATTATTTATATTTTATTTAAAAATTCATTTTGTCCTTATTAATGTGACAGGTCGTGTATCGGTATATATGAATCATCGAAATGAAGGCGATATATTTCGAAATAACGGGCAGGGATCACGATTTGTACATCACCTGATAATTATTTACATTTCGATCTCGGCTTGGAGATAATTGCGAATCGATGATGCGTCGAGACAGTCGAGTATGAAAAAGATTGCCGTAGTAAAAGCCCCCGATCTTCGGGGATTTCATGCGACACGTATGGCAGTATACTTTGTCCGCTGCGAGGATACGAAAACGCGCGCGGTCGTGCGTTAATCTCGCAAGAGAGAGAGAACGCACGCGTTAGGAAACTGGGAGTATCCGTGTAAACTGAATTGCGCCGATGTCGGCGTGAAATTAAAACGTACGGGAAACCGGTTTCTCTCGGACGAGACGGATATACGTAGAGATATACGTACGTACGCACCGCGATGCACTTATCCGTTGCAGCGGCTTCGCAAAGGCGTGGAATACGAAGAGCGCGTGCGCCGGAATTTATAATCGGAATAAATTTCAGCGAGGTGTGAGAGAAAAACGCGCGCGACATCTCGTACTATCTCGTACCTTGGTCCTGTTCGTGCACGCGATGCGCGAAAAAAGAGAGCCTCGGAGATTCCTCTCGGAACGTACACGAGGATTGTCATTGAGGGGAAGCGCCGCCGGTGACACGTGCGGGCCATGTACGCGTGTTGTGCTATCGTTTTGTTTACTTTCGCGTTTCGACGAACAAATTTAAACCGAAATTCAAGCTTGTTAGAGCTCGCGTGACGATACACTTCGAGAAACTCTATTAGCTGCGTACTTCTCCCGTGTTACTCGCGCAGAGAGGCCGTTTGTGTACCGCCGTTTAGGTATTTCGTCGCCATAAGCAAGTCGGAGACGAAGACACGCGATTATCCGGAACGGACGTCGAAATACACGCTTCGATAGTAATCCGTTACGTCTTTAAGGAGTTGAAGCGCCGTGAATGACACAGTTCTAACTCTCAGGAATGAGAGTTGACTCGGGATTAGATTAACGCCACGGCTCTAACAGAGAGTATTTTCTGGCTACTTTCCTAATTACTATCAAACTAATGTAGCATCGCTTGACACGTGAACAAAATTTTGCTCTCTCCTCGAAAAATTAAATATATATTTGTTTACATACGTATATCATTCGCTTTAAATAATTTCATATTTAGTTTCTAGATAATTATAATTGAAATATATTTTATTAATAAAAAGAATTAAAACGTGTGCTTCGGCTTTTAATATTTCTCACGTAAGAGGAAAATAAAGAGGCGAATTTTTCTATGGAATTTCATAATAGCTATAGACAATATTTACCGAACATTTACATATCAAGCGCCATTGAGATATGAATCAACTGCAAACTCTGTTGGCCGCTTATTAGAGATGTCACGATTCTCGAGTAGCAAAATTCCAATCATCTATGATGGCAGTAGGCGGTAGGAAAGTCGAAAAGTACGAGCATCCGTTTAGAATTTGCATTTCCTCGAGTCATTGACAGCATTCTCGCCGTCAAACGTTGCTTTATGATTCATTATGGAAGCATTTTCACCGAGCCGATGATTCCTAATCACCCGTCTACGACGCTCGAAAGTGGATCGCACCGAAGAAATGATCCACCGGAAATTAACGAGATTTTTGTGCCTCGCTTCGAATTTGCATTCTCTTTCACATCTGGCGAACTTGTTGCGGTCGAGCGCTACTTTACGGCTCGTTACCAGAATATCTTCCCCGAGTCGCGAGACTTCCTGAATCATGATCTATAGCGCACAAGTGTCACGTTGGGAGAGCGATCTATGAGAAATCGAGACCTCGGTTCTGCTCCGGATTTGCATCTTGGTATGTCAGCTATTCGCGATCGAGCGTTGCTTTATGACTCGAGTCGCAAGACTTTCCGAATCATGATTTATATTGCAATAGTGTCTCCTGGGAGCGGGCTCACTATCGGGATATCTCTCGTCACGGAATCGTACGATTTCTGAATCATGATGTACATAGCACACGAGATTTGTCTCTCGGCATGTAAACTATTCGCGCGATACATAATACAATAGCGTTAACAGACATCGTTAAAAAAAAAGACACTAGGAAGTGTACGCTTGAAATAATGAGACTTCCTGATCGATGACAAAAGGTATCGTTTCTACGAGTAACCAGGAACTCTCGAGTCGTGCTCCGAATTTGCATCTTCTGTTCGCCAGCAAAATTTTTCGCCGCCCCAAGTCACTTTATGGCTCGGAATACTTCGGAATACCTTACACGAGGGAGCGCGATCGAGAACATCGTCTTCGTGGATGTGGAAACGGTAAATCAGAGAGCTCGGCGAGGGAGAACAATGTTGGCGAACGACGAGAGCGCGTTTCGCGCGGCGGAGGCCAATTTTGCGCGTCGAGTACGCAACGGAAGCAGTTGCAGCGACCCGGCGGAATCAACAAGGATTTTACAGGGACTAACTACCGACGATTCTCTGCCGTTTTACGACGGATACCGCGATGGAGGAAGAGGCAA